GCCAACACCCTACTGACCACCTGCCAACACCCTACTGACCACCTACCTACCAACACCCTATTGACAACCTACCAACACCCTTAAAAATTAAATACCAGCCTAACTACTTAATAAATTATAAAAAACATTATGTATGGTATTAAATGAAAAAGAACAAAGCCAAAAGAAGGAAGAGGGAGAAAATGAATTAGAACTAAGTACTAACAATTTTTTGTTGCAGAGATTCCAGAGCTTTAGCATTATTGTTTAGATTGGCAGCAAGAGTTAAAGACTTGTCATAAGAAAGTTGCTAGAGAGGAAGAGAGAGAAGACCAAGGTTTTTATCAGCGTTAAACCTAAACTTATTAGTCATGTAAAAGAGAAATGGAATTTTAACATTTTTAAAGAATTTAACTTAATTGTGGTGACTTGTGATTACCAGGGCCCGGTTGTACGAAGCCTGGATAGTGCTATCCTACAGATAAATCTTATCCAGTGGATAAATTTATTGGATAACAGCATCGACTTATCCACTGGATAAGGATTTATCCGCCAGATAGCGCTATCCAGGCTTTGTACAACCGGGCCCAGTTGTCTTTTTTTTAATATGTTGATTTTAAAGAATGATGCAGTTTAATAGCCAGAGATGATTTATTCTGTTACATCATTCCTTATTTCCTTGCATGATCACTGTCTTGGTGTTTGCTTTGGTTAATTAAGTTGAATATGCCCTCCAGGAGAAGAAAGTGGGAAGTGAAGTTTGAAAGTAATGGGCAGATCCAGGGAATATAGTCACCCCCTCCCTTTTATTTTATTTTATTTTTTTACAAGTATATATGTTTGTAGAGTGCAAACAATATAACCATGAAACTTCAGTAATACTAAATAGCACAATTTCATGCAAATTCCATTGAACATTTTCTATTGTTTAATAGACCTTATTCTTGGTGTGACAATGTTTTCCCAATTCAGTGTGACAAACCTCTGGGGGAATGAAGAGCCATTGTTTTGAAACTTGTCAGGATAACATCATTATTCCTTTCGTATCCTTTGGGATACTCATGAATTTTTTAAAGGGCAAAAACAAAAGAAAATGAATCCCCTGGAGGTTCGTCACGCTGAATAGGGGAAACATTGTCACACCACGAATAAGGTGTATTAGCACTATTTTGCACTATTTAGTAATTAGTGTTTCACGGAATAATTGATTGCACTCTATTAATCTTTCATGCTTAAATAATATTTTGTTTGTATTTTTAAACCAGATTTTATAGTTACTCAGCTTGATTAGCTTTAATATTTTAAAAGTTATTTCTGAGTAACTTTTAGCATAAAACTATAATCCTTTCTTTATATTTTGTAAAATATATTTTTTCATTATACGGTAATAAAGTTGTTGTTTTTATATATTTTACAGATGAAGTACAAAAGACACGCATAGATGGCCAAACAACAACAGGACATAAAGTCCCCTAGCTGGTACACATTGCACTGAATCCTGTTGCAATTAAACTTTCTCAGGTCTTCTTGATGTCCATATTAATAGGGCTTGAAGGCATTTTATATATCATTAAATTATTGATAATTTCTAATACATCAATCAATATTACTTACCACATCCTCCATGACCTCGGCTTCTTCCTCCGTTGCCACTGGAGCAGTGAAAAGTTGGTTGACCACAATCAATCGGTAGTTCTCTTCTATCATCAAGCGCTTGAAGCGCTTGTTAGTTAGCCAGCCCATGCCGTCACCTCGTAGTACATTCCTAAGAATCTCCTTTAGGAATTGTTGATTATCACTGTTGAGGTATTAAAAAACATTTATAAAAGATTAAGAATATTTATAATTATCAATTAGATCCATACATGTAACTGAGCAAACTGAGGCACCAAGCATTGTGTTGTGGGTGCCAATCAATATTTAGGGAGCCCTTGTCAATACAAGTGAAGTGAGTCCTGGGACACATTTGGGTCACAAGCATTGTGTTGTGGATGTCAATCAATATTCAGGAAGCCCTTGTCAACACAAGTGAAGTGAGTTCTGGAACACATTAGGGTCCCAAGCATTTTGTTGAAGGTGTCAATCAATATCTAGGAAGCCCTTGTCAACATAAGATGAAGTGAAGTGAGCCGTAGGATACATTGGGGTTCCTGCATTGTGTTGTGGGTGCCAATCAATACTTACAGTAGAAGCCCTTGTCAACACAAGTGAAAATGAGTTCTGGAATGCATCGAATGCAAACAAAATAATGTGTAATTTCACTAAGACTTTTGAGGTTTTTTTAATATTAATAGGTTGTTGTAAGTACCTATGTGCTGCTTTCTCCATAGATGCCTGCTTCGATAGACTTGGTCTGCCAAGTATTTTGTCAGTGGAACCATTCCTTTGTCTCACACCTAAACAATTGGAAAAAGTGACAGACTCGTATTCAGAGGTCAATTGGGTAACATGTACTTTATGACCATCTGAAATGGTTAAGGTGATTGATGACTTACACATGTCAGATGGTCATAAAGTACATGAGTCCATTATGGCATATAAAACGTTCACATTTTGAAGTCAAGTAAGATTGGAAAATCATGAACTACTTTTATTTAGGCTTAATATACAGTTAGATATTTCTTAAAGTGATTCTACATGTAGGCGAGTTTGCATAGGCAAGTTGGCAAACGCATGATCAATGATTTTATATGTAGGCGAGTTGGCATATAGGCGAGTAAGTCTGTTGGCAACTTGACCGGTGACCTGTCAAAATTGGCATTATAATAAAGCAATTATTGAATTCCGTTATTGCATAATATAGTAAATTATCAAGACCTCGGCTGTGTTACCTGCCTCAGCCTTTGGCTGCGGCAGATAACACAGCCTCAATCTTGATAATTTACGATATCATGCTCAACCTCATCCAATAATATTGCTTATTATCGATGAGCAAAACCAACAAATGCAATTGCAGTCTCCCAATCTCACCTGGGAAAGGAAAGAAGGATTTCTCATCAGAAACCATGGAAGGTTTGCTTGACAAGGACTGTAATGAGGTTTGACTGCTGGTCCTCTTCATGTAGCCGTCAGGATTGACTTTTTCATCCTGGTCTTGTGTAGCCATCTTTGCGACATTTATAGTTGTCTTCTTGAGGCTGTTCAAAAAACCTGCTGTTGAAAAGAAAGACAAATTTACTAAATAAATTTATATCTATTTTGTTATTCTTACAGTAGAGCTACTGTACATTTAAAATGGTCTGGTGAAGGTTTGCTTGCAAGTTGCATGTTGCCCCAGGGGGTGTACTCGGGTGGGTCGGTGTGGACAAAATTTAGGAAAATTTCATATTATTGTGACCTTTTGCTGATTGTATTCACATCGCACATAGTGCAGTAGCCTGCCCAGCCTTAACTTTAGGAGTCATTGAGACAAACCCTCCCTTATTTGTCAAAACATCTTTTTTTTCACAAGGGTAGCACTTAATAGCCAGAGGCTAACAAACCTGTGGTGGAATTCAGGGGTTGCTTTTTGAGGAGGGAGGAAAACTGGAGAACCCAGAGAAAAACCCTCGAAACACAGGAGAGAACCAACTAGAAACTTTGCTCACATACAACACTGAACCCGGCGGGACTCAAACTCAGATGAGAGGCGAGCGCTCTGACCGCTATTGTTAAATCTTGGATCTACCTAGTAAACAACTATAATAATGTCAACATACCCATAACAGATACTGGTTCTGTTGGAGTACTACTTTTCTCTGATTTAGAAACAACAGTTGAAACTTGAGAACTCTCCTGGTCTGACGCAGAGGTTTTCTCGCTGTCATCTGTGTCTGAGGCAGGGAATTTTTTACGCTCACTCTCTGGAGAAGGAGGGTTAGATACAGAGTAAATAAGTCCATCAGAATCATCATCTGGTACAGAATAAGATTCACTTTCTATGGAACCTGTGGCTGAATCTCCTGAGGTCGTAGTCTCTGATCCAGATCTGGAAAAAAAAGAAAGAAAATATTTGTAACAACAAACAAGAATCTTGCTTTTTAGTTTGCTATCTGCTATTATCAATGACCCATTCCAAGATTGAGCAAAAGACTGCATCAAGCTCGCATTGCTGTGCATTCTGGGATAGTCTTAGGGGACATACTTCCACGATAGTGTCTATTTCATCCCAATCATCGTTTTTAATAATCTATTTATAATAATGTTAGGCAGTTTTCCGTTGTTTGTATAAGAAATCGCAAGATCTCGAGTACAATTTGGAATTTATGAGTACGAGTGATGTTTTGAAAGTTTTCAGAATTGGATGAGCCTTTTAGGCCAGTCCAATTTGAGAACTTTCAAAACAGCATGAGTATTTATGAATTCCAAATTGTACTTGAGATTGTAAGATTTTTTGTTTATGATACTGTAGCATAAATTATGTTGAAATTGAGCAACTTAATTGGAACTCTGCAGAGTACAATTTGGGATTTAATTGTACTCCTCTTGTTCAATCAGAATCGAGTAATTTTGTTGAGTGTATTATAAGTCCTCTTATCGATGGACACATGATTCCAAAAATAAACTCCTGAATTCCAATAGTCCCTTTCACAGTTCCCTGCGCCATCTTGCAAGGTAGTGAAGGGTGAGCTTGCAATGATAGAGACCTTTTTTAACTCCTTGGACAATCATTCACATCTCTATCATTGCAAGCTCCCCGTTTGTCTTGCTTCAATGCAAAGGCACGGCTATCTTTCAAGATGGCCCAGCATGACACGGTGAAAGGGACTATTGAAATTCAGTGGATGAAGAGCCACTCTGTGGAAATTCCACAGATAAATCCCATTTCAAACTGTTAAAAACATTCTCACTGACAGCTCTCAAAGGAACTTATTGAGCTAATTGCTCGCAAATTTTTTTCTGTATTTGATGTGAAGTCTTCCACTTACTTAATAATGGTGTCACTGTCTGAAGTCTGCCTTTCTTTTCCACTTTGTAACCCAAGAAATTGACCAAAAGGTCCTGTCGTTAGGGCATCRGGTAACGAAAATGAAGCCTGCACATCAGGTAAAGGTGATGATGATCTGACAGGGTTAAAGGGTGGGTTCTGCGACCCTATCGGTGTCTTGCCATTGATGTCACCACTGATCATCTGTTGTACAAGATCACTGACGGAACTGTAGCAACTACTGCTGTCGTCGTCGTCTTCATTGTTTGGAGTGTCCTCTTCTTCATCAAAGATCAAGCTGGGTTCATAATCTACCTCGATCCATGGGTCGCCATACAGTTTGGAATCGACATCATATACTTGGTAATGTACTGTCTCTAGGTCATTGAAGTACCATTTTGCTTTGTCTCCTATCATTTGAGGGTCATATATACCTGGGGGGAAAATAAGGATACTATAATATTGCAGTACTGAATCATATGTTATATTATGAAATATTTGAGATATGCACGCTGATTGGTTGGCTACCATGTTTATATCAGAGGACAAAAACATACTTGCATAAAACTGTTCAAAAATATTTTATAAGATATATGATCTAATTTAATGAGAGAGGGTGACATTTGACAGTTGTAACAATAATATTGATGCAGCTGACAAATTTATTGACGCTGCTGGGGCTTGAACCCATGACTGTTATAGTGTTTTCCTAAGCTTGATGTTTACAGATAACTAACCGAGTATAAAACTATAAACACTAGGATGCCATATTTGATTCATAAGCATTCGTTATTCCTGGAAGTGAGGCTACCACAGGAATCCCATTACATCACCATGACCTCCCACACAACAGCTAGTGGCCAACCAAACGAGCCAATGGCTGAGCCCTGTTTTATTATTCTGTACTGAAGATTTTTTATTTTGAGTTCTTGACTAACCTTTTTGAATCTTTTGAAATGCAGTATTCGTTGGGCAGATGAACCACTCTCCAAAGTACTCTACTGCCTGTCATAAAACGATTCATTTTTATTACAAGGCTGTTCAAGGGCGGATCCAGCCAAAATTTTAAGGGGAGGGGGGGCTAATTGAGTTTCTTCCATCAACACCACGGAAAACAATAAAAAAAGCATCTAATTCTTCAGTTTTGTTTTGTTTCTCTGCTGAAGGGGAGCTTAAGCCCCCCTTTGCCCCCCCCCCCCCCCGCCACCCCACCCCCACCAACAAAATATATGGCGCAAAGAGCAGGAGGGATATATGTATTGGAGCTAGGCCAGAATGTGTCTTTTAGATTTGGAATAGGAAGTGCGGAAACACGCATTAATATCTACCCAGCCATCCCTAGGCCTTTGCAGATATTTCTAGTGTGTTTTAGAATGACTTAGTTTTCAAAGTTTTCTCATCTAAGAGGATGTCATTCTCTTGAGAATAAGATACTTAGGGCCACATCCATGCTAATGTATCTTGTCATGCATTAAAGACTGGTAAACAATGAAATAATACTCAAGGGAATAACAGATCGTCTCAACTTTGAGTCTGTCGTGGATGCAAGGCTTGTGAAGGAGTCGGAATCGGAGTTGGGAGTTTATGATGTAGCATGTCAAGTAGCCTGTTGGAATTGGAATAGGATGGATGGAAAATGCTCCTTATGTTTTGCATATAGCTTACACATATGATGAGCAGATTTCAATGCCATTTCATGCACAAACTGTTGTTGACTCGCAAGTGAAAATCAGAAACAAAAGAAAGATTAAATATTTACCTGTGTTTCAGATAATGCTAACACAAAATCTGACTGTTTTGGTCGTGACTTAAGGAATGGTCCCTTCTGTAATGCAACGACTGGCCGTGGATATAACCTCAGCGTGCGTACATGTTCATGAACTCCACCAAGAATATCATCACTTAGGAAGAAGTTCACTAAAGCAACACGCACCGCAATATCAACTGCATCAACGTCATTTCCAAAGACTAGGTTCTCAGTGGGAGAGTTTTCTGTTGGCTTGTTGTTGTCTTTGATGACTTGGGGTATTCTGTCGTGGGGGGCAGCCTTGTTCATGCTGGAAATACTCTGTGGCGGCATGCTTAGGGCTTGTAATGCCTGACACAGATTATGAAATTAAAAATGAGATGAAAATGAAATATAGAAATGGAAAGGGAAGAGAAATGAAAACTGTATGAAAATGAATGAAGATGAGATAAAAATGGGATTAAAAAAGATTGGAAAGAAAAGCCATATAAAAATGAAACTGAAATATGATAGTAATGAGGAGGGATGAAAGAAAAACATGAAAATGAATGTGAAAAAATTTTTGGCATAAAATGTAATAAAAAGGAATGAAAATGAAAAACCACCTTTAAAAATGATTTTTTGAAAAAAATTCTAAATGATCTTATTAATTTTACAGTAGAAAGAATTAATCTACAAGACACTAGTACACAAAACAGGTCACTGATTTTGCTCACCATTTTTAGCTGTTTCACCAACATTGGTCCAACATCTTCTGGAAGATCTGGAAGCTCATCTGCTGATAGTGGGACAGTTAACTGGAATAGAAAAAGCAAAAATTTAAATTATCATTCTTTCAATCCTTCTGTCCATTCATTTGCCCACCCGTCCACCCATCGATTCATCTGTCCATCCATCCATCCATCCATTCGTCCATCCTTCCACCGTCCATCTGTCCTTCCATCCATCCATCCATTCTTCCTCCCTCACTCCCTCCCTCCATCCATCTATCCATTCTTCCTTCCTTCCTTCCACCATCTATTCATCCATCCATCCATCCATCCCTCCATCCCTCCCTCCCTTCCTCCCTCCCTCCCTCCATCCATCCATCCCATCAAGGATCCATTGATCAATCTTGTTTGAGTCCAAGTCAACGACCAAAGGTCATTAGGAATGTTTGGTAAATACATTATTTCATTTTCCCCTTTACTCATTCATTCATTTTATCATTCATTCATTCATTCATCCATCCATCCTATTACCATCCTTACCTTATTTGAGTCTAAGTCAACTATCCAAATGTCATTAGGAGCAACGAATCCATTGCACTTATATCGAAAGAAACTAGCAGGTACCCCAATCACGTAGGGTGTAGGAGCCATCAGAAGCTGTTCGGCATTATTCATACAGGAGGGCAACAGAGGAATGATAGGGAACATGTACTGCAGTGGATACACTAATGCCGTCAGAGCTAAGACTGTCATAGTGAGTGCATTATAGTCACGTGACTGGATTACCACCTGAAAAATTGAATTTAAAAATCATCAATTTCTTCAGTTCTTCAGTTTCTGCAATTGATAATGAAAATCTCTTACATTGCATTTATTCATTTTCTCATTAAATTCATTCTATCTAGGTGTCATTAACACTGATATGTCAGAAGGAAACGTTTTACCTGACAATAGCTAGCTTAAGTTAATTAATATTTTCAAAAATTCTCTAGAATCAGATATTATGAATTTGAAAATTACTCATGTAAGTGCAATTTATTATATGACCGTGAATCTTAGAGCCTGGACACTAGCAAATCAAGCAATCTGACTGGATAGATCGCATCGCGGACTGGTCTAGATTCTCCGGTATTAACCGGTCCGATCGCATATTAATCTTACGGCGAAAACATTTTGTCCTTTTCAATGAAAAGTGGTCATATAATAACTCTTATCAACCGAGCTTGGTCAGTCTGTACTGGATAATCTTGACCTCGGTCAGGTACAGACCTCGGTCAAGATTATCCCTTACAGACCTCCCGCTCGGTTAATAAGATCTAAGTAATGAAGGTAAAGCTAACTTACAAGACAAGTCATGAAGTGCAAGTCAAAAACTTGACCTCAATTTTTTAGGTCCCAAATTTGCACTCCTACAACTTTTTGACAAGTTAAAAATTCATCCAGCACCATTTTTTTTGTTTAATTTGTTTTACTGAATGACTAGTTAAAAACTTGTAATTTTATATGTGTGGGAAAATTTTTTAAAAATTAACCTTCGAAATCTTTGAAACAGCCTGAGTTGATAAATGATACACCTTGGCAGAAAACGTGTGTTGTACGATATAGATTAATGAAGTTTTAGCATCATTCTTAACATTTTTATTTTAAATATGAATAAATTAATACTGTTTATCTCCCACAACTAAAGTGAAGTATTCGCTCTTTATGAATACTAAAGAAAATCACACATTAATATGTGCCTAAAACGAACAAAGTAAATTTATAAGATATGTCATTATTCATATTTACTGTGAATAATTCTATAAAAAGACTGTTAAGTTGTCAAATAATCCAAGTGAAAACAAGATAAAGGTGATAAGACTGCTCTTTCTGCTGTAAGGTATAACAGCTGTTAGTGTACACAGTTCATTCATATTAATCAAATTTTTTGACAAATAATGACAAATAATATGAACACTTTTGACATGAATGAACATTTTAAGAAAATTATTGGAAAAATTATTTTTTGGCTTCTTTCTGATCTTTCTACTTTGTCAACAGCTGTTAAGGTCTTTTAACATAAAAAGCTAAATTCTATTAGATAATAGCAAAAAAAGATAAAAAGACAAAACAAAACAAAAAGAATATAAATAAATAAAAAAATGAAATAAAATAAAGATAAAAAGTAGCATAAATATTACATATTCAAGAGGAAAGTTGTTTTGACAATTCCTGACACTATTTTTAGCTGCACAAACTTTCCTTTTCGATGAAACAACAAGATGTCATAGCCTAAGCTGTGTTTGTTTTACACACAGTAAAAATGCATCCTATTATCAATTCATTTTGTATGACATACCAGCATAAGGTGATACTGAGTTACCATGAAAACATAAGTAAAGAATAATATTGGTACAAAATATTATGTGATCTGTGAGTTACCGTGCCCTGACTTAGCTAGATCAGCCCAGAGGTTGTTTCAGGGTTCAATCTGTGAGTTAGCCATGCCCTGACGTATATCAAACCAGACATTGTTTCAGGGTTTGATCTGTGAGTTAGCCATACCCTAACTTAGATCAGCCCAGAGGTTGTTGATCTCTAAGTTAGCCATGCCCTGACTTAGATCAGCCCAGAGGTTGTTTCAGGGTTCTATCTGTGAGTTAGCCATGCCCTGGCTTAGATCAGCCCAGAGGTTGTTTCAGGGTTCTATCTGTGAGTTAGCCATGCCCTGGCTTAGATCAGCCCAGAGGTTGTTTCAGGGTTCAATTTCTTAATTAGCCATGCTCTGACTTAGATCAGTCCAGAGGTTAGTGAATGTCAGTGAATAATATTATGTTATCTAATAATATTCAATGAAAATTATAAAAATTCGTTACAAGGTTGACATTTCATAGATTGTTTAGAAAAAATTAGCATACAAGGTCATTCCTGGTATCCTACTATCTTTCATTTTTGAAATTGTTTAAAAATTTGCATACCTTGTGCAGCTATAACTTTGATTATAACTATTTTATGTTAAATTTAATAAAGTTAAACTAAAGAAAAAAGTTTTAAAGACAGCAGAAAAATTCTAAGTTTAAAGTGGCAAAGATTTTTACATAATAGTCATCAGACTGAAATGTTTTTACCTATTTCAATAAACGTTGTCATTGCCAAAGGCTATAGCTAGGTAATAGGTGATAGGAGATAGGTTATTTCAAGATCAATGAAAAGCTGGAATGACTTGTGTTTCTGCTTCTTATATTCACAACACGAACATGGACCTTGGTGTTGAAACTGATTCAATGTTGTTTGTATTCAACGAAACCATTTCCATGTTGGAAAGACCAATCTCCTGTCGCATTTGGCAATCAATGATGCAATGTTTATTGTATAGAGGCTTTGCACCATCACGTGATGGCAGCCATGACAGGAGGCAGGAACAACTGAATCTGGTCTAATATGATTTACATGAGAAAGAATTCAGTTTCCCAGGGGAGAACGACTCTATTGTTGTGCTTCCTATTATGGCTTCCATCACATGATGGTGCAAAGCCTCTATAGGTGAACACACTGAATCAATATATGGCGACCAAATTGGAATAATTCTCAACTCACTAGTCTCATGTTCACATTGAAACATAAAAGTGCTATCGCACGTATTAGAGGCTAGTCAGTCCAGAACAATAGTAATTCAAATTTGTCACAACACATTACTTCACGATTTTCATATTTTTTGAATATTGAAACAGACTTGCATTATAATTTATTGTAATTACATTCACTTTGTTGACAGGTTAAGATATCTCACTTTCACTCTTGTAATCAGATACCAATATTAAAGACAGCTGACAGCTTGACCATAGGGTGCAAGAGTCGTAATCAAACTGCAGGATATTCCATTAGCACATTTAATGGAATACAAAATATGTTAAAGTGAACAACATCCTGATAACGTAATAACATTATAGCTCTTACTTCCTGGATTAATTTTTCAAAATAGAAATAAAAACATGAAAATTACTGTTAATCAGAAATTATGATCTCTGCATAAATATCTCTCACCTTGGCCCTGAAATACACACAAGGAAATTACAGGCAAAAATTGTATGATATACTCGAGCTTGCTATAAAGAAATATTAATTCTGATACAACAATATGATTATACTTTTTTTAAATCATAATATAATAATAATAATAATGCAGATTTTTAAAAATAAATTTTATAGTAAAACTATTTCTCCAATTCACTGCATAAGCAAAAATTTTAAAGCCCAAACGATGATTCCTTCATAAATCTAAATCTATCAAAAATTATATAAATAGAAAATATTCGATTATTGATTATTATTTATACCCAGGTATGAAGATAGAATAACTGACGGATGTCGTACGTGTTATGAAAATCATAAAAATTATTTCCAGGTAGCGGGATATTTGTAGAAATTTCAAACACTACAATTTAATGATCGCAATAAAAATTTATTGAAATGTTTTTATTGGAGAAAATCGATTGCTGAGGTTGTAGAAGAGCTGATCAAACAAACTCCATACATATTTCATGTTCTAATCTAGTCTTACCTTTTGCTCCAAAAGTATACAAGTTAACACTTTCAAACACGTCTCGACTCCAAGTAATTCCAGTGGAATATGCACAGGAAAGTCTATCAATGGTAAACGTGAATTTTCTGGCGATGAAAATAATAAACTTGGATAAGTCTCCGGGCAAAGAAGTTCCATATTGACTTTCGTTCGTCCTTGCATCGGAGCTGGTGCGAGTAACAATCTGTGGATCCATGTCTCTATTTCGGCCATTTCTTCGGCCAAAGCGCTCAATTTAGGGTCTTCTGTACATGTAAATACAGACCAACTTTCCAAGCCAGGGATTGTATTTTCATTTTTGTCGTTAGAAGTCTTTCCAACTCGTGAATCAATCATTTTTCGAAGCACGAATAGGCACTCCCTGAACGTCGAGAAAAACGGATGATGCGATACGATGCAGATCGAAGTTTGTGTCATACAAATGTCTTTCTTATTCCGAGATCTTGAGCGCTTTCTCTTAGTGATATTAGGTTCTTTGAGTTTAGTTTCTAAGTTCTCTTTGAACAAAAACTCCGAACAGGGACGATAGATGTTCATACACACTCCATAACGAACTTTATTGGTGTCCTTGTCTGTTAACGTGAAAATAAACGAATTAGCCTCTCGAAGGGAAAATTTTTTTGACACCGTACTACATCCTTCGGGCTGGCAGAAAAACACTACGTCTGGAGGAAGACAAGAATCTTCATGATCTTTCTGAGGAAATCTTCGAAGTAACTGCGGAGTCTCAGTGGAATCCAGAGTCGGTTTTCGTACACCAACGACTATAACATAGTCCATCAACCTCGTATGAGGAAATTTCTTATTTTTCGCCATCTTTTTCCCTCTCTTGGGTATTCCTGGAGCTCCTTTGGTGATTAGTTATTATAACGTTGTCAAGAACTACATGTTTTAAAAAAATTCTACCGTAAATGTCGAGCATTTGCACCCGAATCATTCAGTCCTGCATGTTTTGTATTGATATCATACACAAATATACACTTGTCTTGTCTCCCGTTTCTTCTCGTTCTCGGCACATCACGCACGATCACGCGGGATAACGAAGGCGTGACGTCATTAATCTATGTACTCCTAAAAAAAGGTTTAAAATTCCTAAAAAAATCCTGATATTTAATTTATGACAAGTAAGTATTCGTGAGAATTAAATTCCTAAGTAATCAAGCGTTTTTCTTCTCAATTTTTCCTTAACTATTAGATGCGCGCGAAATATTTCAATTGGTCGAGTAAGTTTGTCACAATGGCGGAAAAATTATATATTGAATAATTTTTCATTCTTCAAACGCTTCGAGCAACGTTTTTAAAAGTTTCAAATGCGTAGGCAAGCTTTCTGTGACTCATCGAGTATTATTCAAAGCGTGGTAACTTTGAATTGATTTGAATTCTTAAGCCTAAACTTATTGAGGCATTTATGAGTTTTTTAACTAGTTTTGTACGATGAAACCCTCTGCGACGCGCCCCCGGACGCCCATATGTCAAATTGAAATCGCTTAAATGTTCTCTAGAAAGATGAAATACATATAGCAACAGCAATGAAAATATTTCTGTCATTCGATCCAAGTTTGAAAAAAGAAAGAAGTATTAAACCCAGCAACGAGATTTGGCAGCAGAAACGTCCCAAAAATTCAACATGAATTCACACTTTGGTCAATTTGGAAAAATGAATAAATGAATAAATACACGAGACCGAGCGGGATTCCACAGGAAGCCCAAACACTTTTTGAAAAAACCACAGGGATTCCAATTCTTGTTGTTTTGTCTCTCTTGTGTAACATTTTTTCAAAATGGCGGGTTTGGGTTTCGCTCGAAGTCAACTCGAAAAACAAGGCTGGGCCGAAGGTAAATTCTCTATATAACACTCTCAAACATTCTTCAAAGCTCCTTTTAGTTTGTCTGGCTTCCATTTAGCATTGTTGTGGGCATATTTTAATGAGAATTTCAAGATGAGATTCTCACGTGCTCGTGGCCTCGTGTCGATGAATCTTTGAAATTTAAAGAGTCCTTAATGAAAGAACAAAAAAACAACTCGTTTTATATTATTTTGTGATGCAGGAAAAGGTCTGGGGAAAGAAGAGGATGGTATTAAAAAGGCTATTAAAGTTGGCATCAAAAACGACACTCAAGGAGTAAGTTGACATTCGCCTACCCAGGGGG